TGAATTTCAACCCATAGATGGTAGACTCCTCAGACTTAAGACCCAAACACATGGAAACAAACTGTACATCTCAGCTCAGGGCACTTCCCACACAGCACAAAACCAGTTAACCCAGTGAGTCCAAGTAAAAACAAGCTTGTGCATATTTGTTGGAGATAGTATCTCAAATACTGGCACACAATACTTTTATATTGAAGGTAACGACTTCACTTGTAAATGTTAGATATTTTCCTTAGTGTGGCACTAGAATAAAGCTGACATTTCATTTTGTGTATACCAAATGCCACTTCCTTTTAGAACTGCAGGATTCCACTGTTGACAAATGAGGTAACACATGCACATTTATTTCAGCTCTGAAATGTGACTGGTCAGTGAGGCGTTTAGTTTGCCTACATGACAGAATCAAGGGGGCATTTGTAGTAAGAAAAAGACAATTTCTACTCTCCTTTCCGGAACTTCTTCAGTTGTTTACTGGCTTATCTTAACCATTCTGCCTCCACATTTACTTTCTGTGTAGTCTATTTGACCTTGTTTTAAAGTCAGCTCCAGGAAGATAAAGTACTGCTAACACTTTCCTTAGAAAAGCTATGGGTGATTATTACTAAAAGCAGTGAAGGGCTGGAGAGATGGCTCAGAGGTTAAGAGCACTGACAGCTCTTCCAGAGGTCCTGAGTTCAATTCCCAGCAACCACATGGTGGCTCACAACCATCTGTAGTGAGATCTAGCACCCTCTTCTGTATACATAATAAATAAATAAATCTTTTTTTTTTTTAAAAAAAGTAGTGAAAGACAAAGTAGCAAAGAGACATCTGTATGGGCTCTCCCTTCTAGAGGGCAACTTTTTCATTTTATTATTATTTATTTTTTAGTTAAAAGGGAGGTTTATTTTGTGGGGTAACTTACATGTGAAGGGATTGGTTACAGGGTCTGGGAAAGTTGTAGTGCAGTCCGGAGGTGTTCTCTGAAGAACTCTGCTCTGTCTACCTCCAGTGTCCAGGGTCCAGGAACCAAGAGCGCCGGCACATCCGGATCTTGGGGCTTCAGGGAACTCTCTCGGCCCTGCCTTGTAGGCGTGACAGTTACCTCTATGAGTTAGCCTCAATGGGGGTTGGAACTTACAGATCAAAGCTGGAAGGGCTACCCACTACAATTGTATCTTGTTTTTTCCGAGACAGGGTTTCTCTGTGTAGACCTAGCTGTCCTAGAACTCACTCTGTAGTCCAGTCTGCCTGCCTCTGCTTCCCAAGCGCTGTGATTAAAGCCTTGTGCCACCGCCCAGCTTTATTTATGTCTGGAAGCCTGGCTATTCTGCATTTGGGGCTGGGGATGTTGGATTGGGAGTGCAGTTTATGACCAACATTCTAGTAATGTGTGTGTGTGTGTGTGTGTGTGTGTGTGTGTGTGTGTGTGTGTAAAGGCTAAGCAGCCAAAATACCACCTTGCCAGACAGCCTCCTCACCCCACCCCCACACACAAAGAAACAAACAAAGGATACATAATTAACAAAGCTTTATTACTACAGTGATTGTTCTGGGTTCTCAATAAAGCAGTAAGAAAGTAGTCCATTTTCACTGCAACCTCTAAGCTGCACTCAAGCAGTAAAGATCACCCTAAAGTAACCTTTAAGGGCACAACAGACCCTACATTCTTCATCAACAAAAGAGGACAGTTCATATTTGAGGGCTCAAAGTAAGCCCAGGGATAGAAATAAACACACGATGGTATTACCTCATTTAACCATTTTGAAATAAATCTTATTATCATTATTGTACTATTTTGCTCTCTTAACCCACCAGAAAATATAGACTGACTTAGGTAGGGGTTTCAGATTCCAGGAACAGTTACCCACCTCCAAAACTCATGTTCTTGGCCACTATATTAAAAATCACCTTACAATGTTCAAAAGAAGTTCATCAACATTATGTCAAGCAAAGCCAGCCAGGCACAGAAAAGTAAATACTGCATAATCTCACATGACCTCTGAGAGCATAGGACAGTGGTTATCAGAACCTGGGAAGAGTGGGGGAGGGGTGGTCAGTAGGGACAGCCTTATCACATAGCAAAGCTACAAGTGACAGCAATTAATGCTTACGTCTGGGTGACAGACATGACTATTTTCACCTGACCGGTACATGTTGCACACAGTATCATTGAACCCCACAAAATATATACAAATGCCATGTTGATTTTTAAAAGTATATATAAAAAGACTCAATTACAAAAGATGCTACACTGTTTCAAACATCGTTCTCTTTTAAAGGAACACACCAGTCTAATCATAGCATACATCTACCTCAGATTTTTCTCCAGCAAAAGCTCAATGACTATCAGTTCCTACTCACACACAACAGCCAGAATTTCCCCCATGACCTAAAATTTGCTTATCTTTTACCCCTTTATTAGAATCATTGCTTCTTCATACAATTATGCTTGAAATAGGTCAGTCCTATTAGAAGTCCTTCAAGATCTCCGCTGTCCCCCTGAAAAAGGTATAGAAAGTGAGATGTATCTTTCTAAAGGGGAAGTATTGACATACAAGCATTCAGGAATTGAGGGTGAATAATTAAATTTCTCTATTTTATAATTATAAATCTTTGTTAAATACAAGAATTACAGTATTAATTCTCCCCTCAAATGTGGACTAGAACTTCCTTTGAATACACTGGAGGAGTAACCTGCAGGGCATTGTGGTGATGTACATTTGCAATGCTAGCAGAGGCGGCAAAGGGCAGATTATAAATTTGAGGCCAGAATGAGTCACAGAAAGAACCTATGCTTTAGACATTTTCTAACACTAACCAAATACCTTGGGGAAACAGATTTTTTAGTTCCTGGTTTTATCATGGCAGAAGGGTGGCACATCATAGTGGCCAGGAAGCAGAGATGTTTACATTTCTTTCTTCTCCTTTTATTCCCTCTGAGCCCTCAGTCTATTAGATGATGCTACTTCCACATTCAGGGTCCTCACCTATTTAATGGTCCCTGGAAAAGTCTTCACTCTCACAGAAGCAACCCAGAAGCACTTCTCAGTTTAAACAAGCTGACATTCATGATTAGCCATCATACCCTTGTCTCATAGGACAAAGGGAAGCTAAGTGGGCCAGCAGTAGAGTACTTAGAATGTGCCAGACTCCAGGTTTAACCTCGGGCATCGTACACAAGAGTAAATATAAGAAACCTGACATTCGCCACCTCAGCCAGTCATCACCAGTCACATTATTGACGTGACAGAAAAAAAGCCCTTCATGTGTGTAGTCCTCCTCCCTAAAACTTATAACCCAAATAAACAGAATTACCTACCAGCTACATTCCAAAGGAGGAATATTCTCCACATTATCAATCATTATCATCAAACAGAAGCCCAAGAAACCACTACAACCAAGGAGATGTGAAAACTAGAAGTGCCACGGTACTCTTGGGAGAACCTGACAAAAGAACATTGGGTAAAAACTAAGAGAAATTTTAAAGTGTACATTGAGGAAATGAAGGATCCATACTCATTAATTTCTAAGGTATCAGGAACTCGGGGAGCTGGGTACAAAGTAGGTAAGAACTCTAAATATTCTTTTCAGATTTTCTGTAAAATTGCTCTAACCTGATTTATGAAGAATAAAAAGATACTATGAAATGGTAGAAGAAAAAAATTTGGATGTCTTTGGGACACGTTTAATACTCTTGACACACAAAAATCACATGGTTGGCCAAACTTACTTTCAAAGGGAAAACATTTGACATCATTAGACACTACCATAGCCTACAAATCTAATTGTCTAAATAAATCCCGTTACAAAATCTCAGAAATGCACAATCTTAGCTGTATTCTATTTGCACACTAACAACTAAGAGACTGGTTCGGTGTCATCCCATCAGTTAGATGTAACTCAACTGACTTATTCCTACATCCCCTAAATGCAATTCCATCATCCAGTGTTTCCGAATGCACAGTATGTAAAAATCCAACTTTAATATATGAACTCTTCAAATATATGTTCTCTGAAGGACCAAGTAAGATGGCAGAAGAGGTGGGGATCCAACCTGGGCAGTTACTCTGAATCCCTATCTTCATTTTACGTTTTCATGGGAATAGTTTTTCACTTAAATTTAGCTCCAATGTTACACAGATAACCAACATTAAATCAATTCTGGATTTAGTGCACTACTTACGAATAAACTGTACCTAGCCTACTACCACTACATACAGGTACTACACAAGAATTCTGTCTGTCATTTTAGCAGGGGAAAACTCTACTACATTTTGAGATTATATACTGGTAAGTACTATAGAAGTAGAAAGTAAAGTTAACCACCTTGATCAGCTAACTTTTGGAATATCTTAGTTCCTAGAACAGAAATCCCCAAATCCAGCACTGAGAAGCAAGATCAGTGAAGAATACTTAGGTTCTAACTACAGGTGACTAATGACTACCCTCAATTCTATGTACACTAATGAAACACATACTTTCTCTTGGGGAGACCAAAAGGAGGCTCCTGCTGCTACTGCAGTGGGTGCACTGGACACAGCCAGTGATTTTTGTATACACACAACTGGTTTTGAGAACACAAAACTAAAATGTTAAGTTTTCTCACCCAAACAAATGCTTTATAGAGAGCTAAGTTAATGATGAACATACCATCCAGATAAATTCCATGAATTCTAAAAGATAATGTAAAAACTGTTAGAAAAGCATTCCTTGGGGCCAAGAAAGAGATAGGCTCTTAGACAGCTGGCATTACTACTTCCTCCTGCTACATTTAAAAAAAAAAAAAAAAAGGCCTTCTCTTCCTCTTTTCTCTTAAGTATTAAGAACATGTAAGCCAACAGGCTGGTTAGATTGAATAAAGGGATCTTCCCTGTCTTTAATTCACTCAATCTAAATGACCAACTAAAATGAGTAACTTACATGCATTTGCCAATCAGGAAAATCATAATAGGCAAAAGATATTTCCTAGCAAGCAGCATATATTTATAAAGATAGATAAAAAGGAAAGAACACAGATATGAGTGAACAATTTTTATTGAAACCCTCAAAGATTAAAGAGGACCAAATGGTGAGTTCGGTACCATAACAACAAAAAAAAAAATCTCACCTACTGTACCATCATTCACAGGAATGAACAAACCCAAACACGACAAAATTCAAATTCTCATTTTTAACTGCTACAAGTGAAATGTAAATGAACTAATCATTTCATCATACCCTTCCTTTAATCATATGAAAAAGGGAATTTACATGGCATAACAAAAGATATGCAAAACTTAATGAAAACACAATTCTCTTAAAATCTCACAAACTTACTTGTAAAGGATGCAGAATGCACTTGAAATGATTGAATGACTTAAGCTGATTGAGTTTTTTTTATTGCAAACTGTTTGAACATCAGCTTAACCTTCATGCATGGTACTCAAAAATAACACAGCTTTTCAATTAGAAAGATCACGTTAAAATGAGGAATTAAGCACTAAAAGGCTGAGTTTTTTGTTTTTTTTTAAGGAATTTTCAAGTACCAATATGTATAGTGAGAGAATACTAATTTTGGTTACACTTTCCCCCTTACTGTTAAATATACAAACTATAATACCTTTAAAAATAAAATACCCACATAAGATAACTTTAATAAGAATCATTCAAATGACAAATTGGAAAAACATTAAGCAAGAAATCACGGGACCAATAATGTCTTAATTTAAGATTATTCAAACATTTTATTATATATCTACTCTTGTAGAGCCCAGGCTCTCTCCCTTTTGGTCCCCCCAGTTAAGAAACATTCTGTTGGTTGTGCTATAGAGACAACCTGTAATGATTTCATTTAATGGAAAAATAATCTTGCAATATACTGACTGACCAAGAAGGAAGAGAAGGCTGGTGCTTTGGGGAATACTTAGGTGAGAAAAACACAAAGTTACCAAGTGGAAGCTTTTTTCCCAAAGGAATGCTGCACCCATTTCACTTAAGATTAGAAATTCAGGTTAAAGGCACTGGGATGTTCTTCTCACCACGAACAGACTCTCAGCTACACTGGCCCTGTCTGAGTCTACTGCAGTCAGCCTGCTCATTGGGTATCTGATGACATTTCTTACATAAAACCTAATGTAAATTAAACAAGACTGAATTAGTTTATAATGTAACTAGTTTTATAAAAATATCCAGAGTTGCTAATAAAGCACCAAGAAAAAGAGAACCTCAGGGGGAGGACTCAGCTCCTTCCTACAAGGTCACCCTTTTACAGTTTTCTCTAGTAGGAGCTCCAGAATGACATGAGTCATCTTTGAAATGTCCTACCTATACAATCTTAAGGATATAGAACATTGCTGTGCTGACTATACCCAAATGCCAATTTTCATTATAAATAGTTAAGAGACATGTTACTAGATTTCATGGCTTAGTCTCAAAAAGGTAAAATAGGTGCAATTTTCCTTTATGAAAGTTCATTCTTTAATATACCATTAATATTTTGATGTTCCCTTCAGTAAACACTGACATAACTACACTGGGACTACCAAGTAACTGTGAAGTAGCTATGGTTATCTACAAATACTGTATTCTAACAAAAAATACAATATTTGCATTCTAAAACATTGTACAAAAAATTATATAAATCAAAGTTTCAAAGAAATATCCATCACGAGGCTTTTGAGTTGAAGTGAGCAAAGACGAGAGCAAATGAAAGTATCTCTAAACACGATGTAAACATAAATGGAGTAATGCAAAACATCAAGGTATTCAAATCTACTGTATTGCTATTTTCACCTTTAACATATCATTCTACATAGCTTTCTCCTTTCAAAACAGTAATATAAGGGGCAGGACATTATTTTCATAACCTTATGCCATCAAATCACTCAATACAGATGCACAACACATTCAATTATACAAAATCAATTTGTTTCAAGATACAAAATTAATGTTGATATGAAAAAAATAGGATGTTAAAAAGATAACTATAAGAATACCCAGATATATGCTGTATTCCCACTTATATAGATCTGATCAATAAAACATCAACACATTCACTTAGATACTGATTTAATTCATGGATCAAGGCCATATTTTCAAAGTATTTTAAGAATGCCAGGACACTGCAAAAGCTGGAGAAGAGTTGAGGAACATTATATGCTTGCTAAAGAAGAACTATGTTTATTTAGCTAGTGAGTACCTAGAGTAATAAATTTTTACTTCATGATAGCAATCCGCTCGCAAACACCCAGAAACAGGATTGAAGGGTTTTAAACGTAGTTATAAAGGTCATAAAAAGTCTGAGTAGACTGAGGTACATTTACTCAAAATGTTGAGATTCAGTTAAGTGGTAGAAACAAAAATCATCCCTCAAACCAATGTACATATAATTGGGGAGGGGGGTGTGCATTAATTGAGTCCACCAAGCTGCATATCAATATTCTGTTACACCAATAGTTTGAAGACAAGGGCAATGTTCTAATATAATTTTAGATTATGTTTCTTTTGGCTAAAATAGAGCATAAGGTTGCTTTGCCATATTAAAAGTTTGCTACAATAATTTTTCACATAAACATTCAGACTTGAACTCCAGGACTAAATATGGCATGATTATTTTGCTTTTAATCTGTCAAATAGCTAACAATGGACAATTTAAAAACTACAACAAAGAAAAGGTTGAAGCAGTGAGACTCTTACATCATTGAACCACTTCTAATGGTTAACTGTTAGTACTTAACAAATTCAAAAGTTAATGAATCCTTGCATTCATTCAGTCTTCTGTGCCTTAGCTAGGATGCATAATTACAAAAGACAGCAGGTACTGGTCAAAGCTTCAGGACAGAAAGTGCTTGATGAAGTTACAGTTCTCAAGTGTGTTTGGTGAGAGTATAAGGGCAGATGCGCTGATGAAAACCATTACAAGAAGAGTCAGTTTCGTGTTAAAGTGTTCAAAGATGTCACCTTAAGCAGAAAAAAAAAAAAGCTTTAATAACGTCTTCTTTGACTTATTAGGCATTTCCAGAGTCTACATCATTAGTGTTGTCATTTTAATAGGACATCTCCACACGGTGGTTATTGCTTGTTTCTATTTCTCTCCTGAAAGAAAAATATAAATATTATAACATAATACAATCACCATGTAGTGATTTTAACTGCAGGTACATATAATGCAAATCATCTCTAGACACAGCTCTTCAATTACTAATTATTATCTCTATCACAGTAAGATGATTGATACAAACCTTTTAAATAAGCAACTCCAAAAACAAAGGCCTATTTTAAGACAGTTTATATCCTCTTTACATTCCTATTTTAAGGTAAGAAGATTATGCTCTTTTGAGTCCTTCCAAGTGAAGTTTAAATAGTGTAGTATATCAATTTAAAAGCTTTTTATTGGCTGAGATGGAGACAACACTGCATTAAAGGTATATTAAGAGGTCAGTATAATTTTTAAATGACTCTGATTAAAAAGTGTCCACCACTTATTCTCAAATTTAGTATATTGCAACTTTTTATGTAAAGAATAAAGAAGACCCAAGACTGTCTCCTGAGGGGTATTATTTGCTGTTTTAGAGGAAGAGGGAACAGGGATCAGAGGGGGGAGGCGAAGAGGTAACTACTTAAGGCTACATTAGACAGGAAGGTGAGAATCAGCTACAACAATGAGAATAATGTATTTTAAAAAAAAGAAATAGAATGTTTTAGTTTGAACTGTAATTAACTTTTTTAAAAAGATTTATTTATTTATTTATTACGTATACAGTATTCTGCCTGCATGCATGCCTGCAAGCCAGAAGAGGGCACCAGATCTCATTATAGATGGTTGTGAGCCACCATGTGGTTGCTGGGAATTGAACTCAGGACCTCTAGAAGCAGCGCTCTTAACCTCTGGACCATTCCTCCAGCTCCTGTAATCAACTTTTACAAAAATCACTAAAATACACAGATTATATACTTAATTCATCTCTCTTTATAAAACATAACTTTCAAGTCAAGGGGCAGAAAAGGAGATAGTAAAGAAAACTATAAAAGAAAACTCCATTAATCTAAAAGATGAGAAGACTAAAAAATCTTAGATTAGAAAATAAGAGGGAAAACAAATATTTAATTTTTATAACATGAGTCATAATAAATGTACATTGATCCGTGAAAATGAAAACCAAAAGCATTTTTAAATCTCATATTACATATTTATGAGAAATAAATCCAAAACACACGGACAAAGAAAAGTTAAGATAACAGATACACATTACAACATAGACCAAATCATGTCAGACAAAATATTCAATAATCAGAGATGAAAGCTACTGCTATATAGACAGACATTTGAATGGTATAATGGTACATTCAAGTTTCCAAAAGCTGTAACAATAGTTAGCAAATTCATAATAGGAGAATGTAACAAGTTTTCCTTAGTAAAACAAGTACATCGAAAGTTAAACATAAAAATCACAGAAAACTGAATTCAGAGTTCTAACTAGGACACAAGGATATGACCACATGACAGCCCAGAATGCAAGTTCCGATAATGCCAGAGTTCAATTGTTTTTACTTTTCTAAAAACCTCTGTATTGGGGCGGGGGCGGGTGTGTGTGTGTAATTAGTCTACTTGTTGCAGTCACTTTCCTCATTCCATCTGGTAGGTTCCAGAGTTCAGACTCAGCTCATTACACTTGGCAATAAGCACCTTTACCTACTAAGCCATTTTGCTGGCCCAAAGAATCAATTCTATACACACTGTTTCTGAACATCAATTTCAGAAGCAAAACAGATAAGCAAGCAAACACGCAAACACACACACACACACACACCTAAAAATTCTTACACCTCTAAAACTCTTCAAAAAATATCTGATGTTAGAACATTTTTCTATGAATAAAATGTTAATTATAGCCTACCAAAGAACTAAAAATTTACATCAGTAGAGTTTCAAAAAATATTCAAATGTGCAACAAAACAAAAATTAAAATCTAATTTTTAGTAACCAGTGAATGACTGCTTTGAGAACTGAACCAAAGCCGCCAGTCTTGGTAGCACACCACCTGTAATCTCAGCACCTGAGAGGCTGAGGCAGGTGACATAGGGCTGCATAGGAGAGCTTGTGTCATAAATAAATAATTGTTAGGATGAAATAAAAGCACCAAGAATGGCAATATGCCAGTAAGTCGAGAAGGTTAAGACAAAATGAACAACTTTTAAAAGGGCAGAGCCAGAGAGAAACTCAGAACAAATATTAAAGTGTAGCCACGAGACTTACTGATGGATTAGATCAGAAGCAAGGAAGAGAAGTATTGGGTTGGCAAGGTTGCGCAGTGAGGAAAGATACTTGCTGAGAAGACCTGAATCTGATCCACAGAACCCACCAATTTCTAAGTTGTCCCCCCTAACCTGCACAGGCATGTTGTGAAATGCATGTTTCCCTCCCCAAACTTCATGCACAGGCACACAACAACTATACCTATATGATTTTTTAAAAGAGGAACATTATAGTGCCCTGCCATCTAAAGGGTAGAGAAAAAGTCAGGGGCATGCAAAGAAATAGGGATTATATTGGATTTAAGATGTTTATAAGTGAGGACCTCAAACAGAGATCAAAATAGATGCTCCTGGATATAATAAGACCATTCAGGATGGGAATGCAAATTTGGAAATTGTCAGTGTATAGTAAATGTCCACCAAGAAAACTTGAGTCCCCAGAAATATATAATCCATTTCTTTCAAAACAGTAATAAGGCTGAGAGATGGCTCAATGACTCATGACTCAGACATGAGGACCTCAGTTCTGATCCCCAGTATGCACTAAAAGCCGGACAGGTAATGCACATCTGGAATTCCTGGAGGCTCTCAGGCCAACTAGCCTAGCATATGCACTATTAGTGAACAACAAGAGACCCTGTCTCAAACAAGATGCAAGGTGAGAACTGATAAGCATACCTACACCTACCTACACATGAACAGAGAGAGAGAGAACAAAAATCCACATCTACACTTCCAAAAGGTAGGGTTGTGTCTCAAATTAAGTATATATTCACAATGAAGTATTTATAGGCTATCAGCTACAGATCAGAAAAAAAATGAGACTTAGAAATGGATTGCCAGTGATCTCATCGACTTGTTACAAAATGAGAAATTTTTCTCACAGTTGGCATCACAATTACATGTGCTGTTAAAGCTAAGAGAGATGAGGGAAACATGATTTACATACAAAGGGTTACCATTCAGTGCAACCTAGGAAAAGATTAATTATGCAGAAAGTCACTAGACATTCTTTTATATTATAATCCAGATGATTCAGAAAACTAGATTTTTACTTTAATAACTAACTGATACTTTAAAAACTAATTGAGGAGAAAAATCCTTCCTCCATTTTCCATCCATAGCAAAATGCCTCCACTGAGCTGACAGTGAGATAGGAGAGCTACTGAGTCTTCGAGGAAAACAACCATGTAATAGAAGAGGTCTTCCCTACCCAAACTAAGCATAAAACACTAGAGAGATGAATGAAGAGCACAGGACCAGGACCAGAAATATGCCCATGGAGATGAACTCTTGGCACATTTACTATCTTCTATTCTTTTGACAGAGCTAAGACTATCTCCTTCAAACTAGAAAGGAGTTAGAAAACAAGACTTCCAATATCCTAAGAAGGCCTTGTGGCATATCATAGGCAAATTGCCAATTTTCCTTCTAATGACCTGAGGTTTATTATCATTAGTATCATTTCTATAACCAGACCTAAGACTGCAAATGAGCCACAAAGGTATTTAAGAACCATAGCACCCAGTAAGAAAATGAGCTGAAGCTCTGAGCTGAAGGAGGTGGTGAATGCCTGGAAAAGGCAAAGCAAAACACTCAAAAGTCAAATGCAACAAACAAATGAAGTATTTTTTGTAGATAAGAGCCACTAATTTGCCCCCCAGATAGAGTTTCTCTGTGTAGCCCTGGCTACCATGGAATGCACTCTGTAGACCAGGCTGGCCTCAAATTCAGAGATCCATGCCTGCCTCTGCCTCCCAAGCGCTGGAATTAAAGGCACAGGCCACCACCTGGCAAAATCTAATTTTTTAATTTAGGAAAAAAAAAGTAGTTTATATACTAAAGGGGTAAGTGATCACTCACTCCCTAATAATATCTGAGTTAGGGGGAAAAAAAACAGTATAGTACAAAAAAAAAATAAAATAAAAAACAAACGACTAAACAGACACAAGAAACCTAAGAGGCACTAACATAAACAAGTAATCAAAGTTAAAATCACCAATACTAAGTGACATATGATAAATTGAACACATTTGTTATAGCCATGCCAAAATTCATAACCTCAATCTAATGAATGCTTGAAGCAACCTGAAATTAAGGGACATTAAAAAAAAATAAATAACACCTGAGCAGGTGTTTGGAGAGATGGCTTAGTGGTTAAGAGCACTGGTTGCTCTTCCAGAGGACCCAGGTTTGATTCTCAGCATTCACTTGGCATCTAGCAATCATTCTGTAACTCATGTTCCAGGGGATTTAACAACCTCTTCCAGACTCCACCGCCACTTCATGCACATGGTGCAGACATACATGCAGGCAAAACACTCAAACACATAAATAACAACAAAATTAACAACAAAAAACCCACCTAGTCAGTAATCTTTAAAAATGAAAGGAGAAACAAAGACAGAGAAACCATAATAGACTGGAGGTAATTTAAGAAACATAACAAAATCCAGACTGGGTTTTGAAACAGAAAAGGGTATTACTGAGAAAATACAAGGATGTAGGAAAAGCCTGTACTATATATTTAATTAAGATGGACCATGACCGAAGTTAAAATAGCTCATAGATTCAATGCTTCAGGAAACTTGATGGCTTATATGAAAGAACATCTGCAAATGTTAGAAAGATCTATGCTCCAGAGTAGGGATGCACAAGGATGGTGCCGTGCCTCAGTGGGTTAGGCAAGTGTAGCACAAACTGATGAAACCACTCCAGAATCCATGTGGAAGAACTAACTGCACAAAACTCCCCTCTGACCACCACACGTCTTATGACGTGCACATATTCTATGCATGCACACGCACACACACAGACACACCAATACTAAATAGTGTTAAAAGAATATGTAGGATAAGGACAGTTACAGTAGGTTAACAACCCTATCCATTCAGAAGCCAGAGCATGTGTGGTATAGCCTTTCATTCTGTACAAGCCTGAGCTAAGTTTCTGGTATAATCTGCCCCAACAAAGGTAGCTCCGTTTTTGTTAGAAAGCAAAAGAAAACAGAGGAAGTCTGCAGTACACAACAAATTCTAAATTAGAGCCACTAGGGAAAAGGCAATGAGTATGCTTTGAACAAAGAGGTTGTTTTAAATTTCTATTCCTATTCTAATTCTACCTTTGCCCTTCTCTGCCCAGCCACAGTTTGATCTACACCTACACTAACAGGTCCCAGTGATGAAGTCTGCACTTACACAGTAAGTATTTCGGTGGCTCGTGAGATGGCTCACCGGTTTAAAGCACTTGCAGCACACATATTAACTGTCTAACTTCACAACCCAAGATGCAAGGAGAGACAGACTCAAGTTGTCCTCTAACCTGTGCGCTGTGCAACTCTGAATACGACCACACCCATGTAACTATTTTTTAATATTTCAGACTTGAAAAACATACTCTACTGAAATATAAACCTATCTTTTTTTTTGCCAAAGTCAAATAACTAAATGTGTACTACAAAAAAACAGGAAAAATGAAGAAATTAACAGAAAAAAATTATTTTATTAAGTGTTTCCTAAATGCTGGGCAAGCACTCTACCAAGAATGTTGCTTCTTCAGTCTGGTAGAAAGTAGCTTATCGTCAAAAGGAAACAAGGCCCTTGGTCTGGCAAGCTTTGAACTCAATTCTGCCAAAAATGACTTAGATTCTAAAAGCAAATCTCTCATACCAATCAGGGCTTCAGGTGTGACTCTAGGCCCAGCTTGAGGCTGCCACTTGTAAATAAGTTGGGCCTAGAGTATCAGTGTTATATCTCGGGGCTTTAAATAATATGCCTAAGGCACTAGTTCCTAAATTACCATAGTATTTGAATAAACTGTGCTAACCTCAGAAAGATAAAAATGTGCATGTGTCCCCTACCCCATCTCCTAATGTTCTACCTAGCACTGAACTTTTATAACTTACTGTTTGTACAAATGGAGAAATCATATCAACAGGCAGCATTTATTATATATACCGAACAACCAGTAAATAAATACTAGAGATTAGACCAATGAGGAAGAAAAATTCGGAGACACCAACTTTGAAAGTGTTTAGAGCAGTAGTTCTCAACCTTTGGGTCACGACCCTTTTAGGGGTGAAAGACCCACAGAAGTGGTTTACAACCATCAGAGAACAGAGATATTTACATTATAATGCATAAGAGTAGCAAAATCACAGTTACAAAGAAACAAAGAAAATCATTTTGAAAATCATTTTAAGGTTGGGGGTCACAATACCATGAAGAACTGTATTAAAAGGTCACAGCATTAGGAAGGTTGAAAACCACTGCTTTCAAGCATTTACTCACTTGGCAGTATCTTCTTAAAGGCTCTGTGACAGTCCTTCTACCTGATAATAAGAAATGAACAAAGAGCAAACTCTCTTGCTCTCAATCAGCTTATACACCTGTGTCAACAAAGATTATCTGCAGGTTTTTGGGTTTTTTTTCCCTTCTTCCCATATTCCTCTCCCTGCCAAGGATAGTGGCTCCCAATCATAAGCCCATTTTGTTTGTTAGGCTTAAAGACTCTTTCTGCTCTTGAGAAACCAATCTGTTTAACTGAAAATGTGTTCAGGGTCCCTGTGAGAGGGTATTTATTCCAGTATAACCAATAGCTATATCAGCATTTTTTTGATTCTTTTTTTCATTGTGTTGAAATGCCTCTTTCAACCTTTCTTTAAAAAACCAGAGGAAGCCAGGCAGTGGTGGCATATGCCTTTAACCCCAGTACTAGGGAGGCAGTGGCAGGCAGATCTCTGTGTGTTCGAGGCTATCCTGATCTACAGAGCAAGTTCCAGGACAGCTAAGGCTACATAGAGAAACCCTATCTCAAAAAACAAAAACTATGGAGGCTAAGTTCTTACAAGCCTGGACTTCATTGCTTTACCTACCTGAGGGATGCAATTCTATACTCCCCTCTACTGCACCTTGAAATATTTCACTTTTCATACCTAGGGTTAGAGAGGGCAGGAAACATTTTTGATTAACCTGCTTATCCTTCCTTTGCAGTGTCTTTTGCTTAGGAAGTCTTAAGATTTTCCTGCTTTCATGTCTTTTATTATTTTAAACTAATCTGCTAATCATTTGTTAAGCCCATTATTATTCCATCTGAAAACATGGGATTCTGGAAAGGTTCCTGTAATTATCCTTCCCACTGTTTTTTTCCTGCTGCTTAAAAAACTCAGACCACTTCTCTTTCCACTTTGTCTTTTCCCTTTTATATTTTCATGTCAACTGCTCTGCATTGGTTAGTGTTTTCAATTTGAACTTCTAAAGCTTTAAAAGATCTATCATGGAAATATATTCCCATTAATTTGCTGGCTCACCTATTTTTTATTCTGATAATCATGTTTTAAGTTTTCAGAAACACTTTTGAGTATTCTGCTCCAATCATGTAGGAATAGGAATCCCTCCTACAAGACAAATTTTTTTACATGTAGATTTGCGCCTTTCCTGGAACTCGCTTTGGAGACCAGGCTGGCCTCGAACTCACAGAGATCTGCCTGGCTCTGCCTCCCAAGTGCTGGGATTAAAGGCGTGCGCCTGCGCCACCACCGCCCGGCCCCCTGGCAACTTCTGATCCTATTATTTCTCTCACTTCCCACATTTAACTAGGGGAAAACTCTATTTAGCAATTCATTTGAACAGCTCTGAATCACCCCAAAGCCAAGTTTCCAACAGTTCAGCACAGCAAAGACTGGCACCAGAATCACCTAGGGTGCTTGTCAGAAATGTAACTGAAGTCCTTACCAAATCCATAAAGTATGTTTTACAAACACTCCAATAAATACTTCTGAGCCTTCAGGTTTGGAAACTACTACAGATCCTTATCTCAACAAAATTCACCAGAGTGCTCATTCAATGTTAGCTGAAGCCATTTCCTCTTCTGCACACATGTAAGAAGCCATGATATACTTGAGATCATACATCGAAATGAATCACTGCTGTTTTCATGAAGACAGAAGTGTGTGCCTTAACATTAAGTTTCCCACAAATATGTCCACAGTGAATGTATTTACTCTTGCCTGTTTTCAAAAGAACCTTAAATGTACTTTTTATGGAAAAAACCATTCATTTCCTACCCTCCCCATTCTCTTTACATCTAAAATCAGGCCCCCAAATTGATGTTTAGTTCTGAAGAGACAGCAACTCAAGCCTGTCTTACCTTGGGACCACATTCCAGTCGAATGCAAATATATGTAAATTCAGAAAGTCTCCCTGAGTCTCACAGAAAGTGTTAACATGAGAAAATCAAATACTACAGATCTAATTCTAAAGGTCATGACCTTCGAATCTCCTGTGGTGGTATTTTACTTGTACTGAAATGTGATTTTAATTGTATGTTAATAAATAAAGTTGTCTGGGGGTCAGAGCTATTAGAGCCATAGCAAGTGCATGGCGGCGGCGCACGCCTTTAAGGACCTGGAGGGCGGTACATTCAGGCAGTGATGAGGCAGTCACATGTTTGGGTTTACAACCAATGAGAAGGCAGAACAGCTAGACTATATAAAGACACACACAGGAAGTAGGTCCCCTTTTCGGAGAGCTCTCTTGACTGAAGAGGATCCCTGAATCAGGAAGGGTGAGGCTCTTAGCTCTGACCTCTTGGCTTTCTTCTCTGAATCGGCTCTGTGTTTCTTATTTAATAAGACCGTTGGTTACATCTACAATCTCCCTTCCTAATTCTTGCTCTATTTTGTTACACATTTTGGTCCTATAAAATATATACTATAGTTTTACATAAAACACACACACACACACACACACACACACACACACACACACCACCTTTCTCATAAAACAAAGCAATAGCAAACATTTATTTGAAAATAGTGCTCTAAATTTTAAATGTATTTTCTCATAAAACTAACATTTAAGAACAGTGACTAGAAGGGCTGTGGATTTGAGGTAGTTTAGAGTTATGTTTCTTAAGCTTTTGATTTCTCTCAGAATAAAGTGCATAAACTATAATATTAAGAGGTATAAAAAGGATGCCATTCCATGCACTCCACCCATGAGGATGAATCCTCACACAAAAATGACTGGATTCTTACTTACCCTTCGCATGGCTTCCTCCTCCTCTTGACGCTTTTCATAATGTGCAAAGTCATCAAAGATTGAGGTGGTATGCTTGAAAGTAGCAATTATTTTAAGCACTTGCTTTGCTTTTTCTAGGGGTACTTCTTGAGTGTCCCTTGAATTGGTTACTGGTTTGTTGTCATTATTTTCTAAGCGAATATGTCGTAATTGGTTATTGGGAACATCTTTGACAAAGATCCATTTAACTTCAAATTTACCCTTCCACTTATCCTGAGACCAGACACCAGCATATGCATTATAGTCCACAACAGACTTCATTTCAGCCACTCCACAAAAATGTCCACTGCCATTCACACTGAAGAGTAAATAGAGTGGGCCTTTACCATTCAGAGAACGGTAAGCTGCATCCAAACGCTTATTACCATGCTCGGTACTACACCAGATAGAGTACTTGATAGAACGATGGATATCATCCTCAGAATAGCTCTTAATTATAAACACACGTCCATTCTTCAGGTTCCAATCAAAGTCTTTGGGATTATAGTTGTTTATGGCCTTTAGTTTTTCCAGCACTGGATGCACCTCTACACTAGAAGGTGAAGCACTAACAGGTACAACACCTAAACCAAAGTTTTCACTGCCCGCTCCATTGTTCTGGTTGAAGCCGGTTCCCCTATTCCGAGGAGCTACCCAGCGATTCTGCAGCTGTGGCTGTTGAGACTGCACTTGGTGAGGCTGAGCCTGTGGCTGAGGTCCTTGTTGCTGCTGTGGTTGTGGTGGCTGAGGCTGCTGTTGAGGCAGTTGGCTTTGCACCAATGGTGGTGGTTGAATTAATGGCTGAGGCTGCTGGATTATAGTTTGAGGAGGCAGAACTGGTTGGGTTGGTGGAGCCTTTACTACTGACCCCTTTTCATCCCAAGTTCCAATATTCATGTTGTGTTTTATAGGAGGTGGTGGCACAGCAGAACCCCCAATTCCCACATTGCCCTTGGGTTTAAGTTTCGGTTGAGGTTTGGCAGGCTTTCTGGCAATAGCAGCCCAAGAAGTTGGTTTAGGTGCTGCACTGCTCACAGGGGGCACATTATTGGTTGCAATGCTAGTCATACCACTGCTGCTCAAGGCTGTACCTACAGTTTTTGTCACTGCAGCCGTCAGGTCACCACCAATTTTCAGTCCTGTCATGCCTTGCTCAATACTACTAATGCCAGGCACCTTACTCAAAGTATCATTGCCAAATCCAGCCTGTCCATCAGTAATAGCTCTCCCAAGAGAACTAGGTGGATAGCCATAACTGCTACTATAAGCAGAATTTTGTGTTGATTGTCCCTGAGATCCACTTGTCCCCCATGTAGAGAAATCAGCATTACCAGGAAAAAAGTTAAATCCATGTTGACCAAGAAATGGAGGGGTATTTCCTAATGCCCCTGGTTGACTAAAAACACCATCTGGTATGTAATGATGTTCTCCATTACTCATTTGTCCATAGGTTGTCAGATACGGCATTGGCTGGTCTCCAGCCGTGGACCATGCTGCTTCTCCAAGAGAATATGGAAATCCAATGGATGGAGCATAGTAACTAGGCATATATGGATCTGACATTGGTGGATAGCTGTTATTCTGCAAAACAGAAAACCACAATCAGTAGTGAAATGTTCACTTAAAGGGAAAAGAGAAAAAGGTTAGATGAAAAACTGAGAGCAGTTTTAGGTAAATGGAAAAGAGATGTATTTGTTCCACACAATTAAAATTCCAAATCAATATTATCAGCAGAAATATTACAGATGAGTACCATCACCCTTAAGACAGTCTTGCTGCCCAGCTGGCCTCAATCTTACAATCCTCCTGTTTCTGCTAAGTGCTAGGATTATGTGCCACCATGTCAGCAGTGAATAATTTTAAAATATTAAAAATTATAGCATTTTTAGGCAGAAGGTATAGGAGTAAAATAAAGATTGGGTTTTTGTCCCAGTTTTAAAATTCTGAAATTTCTACAAAATGCTAATAAGCTTTATAGGCACTAAATTATAATGTACACACTAGACTTAAACAAATCCGGAATGTATGTCAAATAGAGGAATTAAACTGGAATCTTTATGATGGAATCAAGTTTGGCCACTTAAACTTTGTACTTAAGAAAAAACAAAATGTAGAAATGCTGTATCTGAGAAGAAAATAAAAATCAAGATTATGCTTACACCATGAAACACAATTAACTGTTTTACTCTCCTCTATTTTTAAAACGAAATACAATAAAATATCCTCTTTATCTTATTGCTGCTCCCAGAAGTCACAGATTTTTTAAAAGAAAATCCCATTGCCAATCAGGGAGACTCCAGAGGCCCTCAAAACAATACAGGCTATTGCTATAGCTCTTTGGTTGCCCACCAGAACTAGATGGTAAGACCCCACTACTGAAGAGACTATACACTTTTAGTTGCAGTAATCAAGAAATCAAGAGGGAAATAAATTAGAAGCTTTCTCTCTTCCTCTCTGCTTGACAGCTTTCATAGGTGTCAGAAGACACTGGATCTTACGGGAGAAAAGGCATTAAGTGTGCAACCATCTGTGGACCTTTCAAGCTACAATACCAACCTGCCAAGCAAGAAGCACTCAATGGTGCAATACTGGCATGACTGTTATGAGGGGTAACCAACAGCTTGCTGCTTGGGTAGATTTTAGGTCTGCACCACAGCAAGAATTTATATGTAGTACTGTAAACCTGGTCAAAAGACCACGGCAGGGGAGGTCATAGACCCTAAAGAGGAACCTACTATTGTTCCTTTTCTAAATGGATATGGTGTCAAAATGTTTATACTCATAAATTAATAATGCTTTCAGCATTGGTCAGAGAAGCTTGTATGCAGCAGGTGGCAGTTAACACAGGGAATTCCTAACTGGTCCAAGTGCTAAGAAGTGAAGCGAGCTTAGCACTAAATGGGTTATCTGTATCACCCTCTTTAAGGCTCAGAGAATACTATGAACAGGCAATGCAGAGAGTCTAATAGCCAGAGGATAAAAAATACTGGGAAAAAGTTATCTTCTAGACATGGTATAGCTGTTATACTTAGGAACTCTCAGAAACAGTGGCTATCTAAACAAGAGCTGCACAAGACTTAGGCCCAGAGCATTATATCATGTATGGGGAAGGGACCATTCACAAGGCCTCATAACTCTCAAAAGGAGTTATAGGAAGATAATGGCTGCTGGGGGAGAGGAATCCTCTACCCAAGCTCATGCAAGCAACTCTAAATGAAGTAGGTCTTACACACAAAAGGACATGAAAGGAGGGGAGCTTGTTAAGAGGAGACTGGATAGGAGAGGAAGGGGATAAGAAGATAACAGGGGGAAATATCCTCAAAGTAGTGTGTGTGTGTGTGTGTGTGTGTGTGTGTGTACACGCATACACAAGAGAAGAAGAGAGAACAAAAGAATGATTGGAAAAGAATAAATTTTTTTAAATCTTGGCTTAAGGATATGATACTAAGAAATCCATTACTTTTATGCTGTTCACTACTTACCAAATTCTGACTACCCATTTAAAACGTGAGACAAGGTCTTGCTATGTGTATGTTGCCAAAGCTGGCTTCTAACTCTTTATGCTCTCAGACTGGCCTCAATACCATGATTTTCCCTTCACCCCTTAAGTGCTGAGACAATAGCTATGCTTTTAACTTTATGGATCAGAAATTTTTCACTACAGAAACAGCAATTTTTTCATTACTACAATAAAAAAAAATCAAACTTCAGTTTGCATATTAAATAACTGTACATTTAAATTTTCCCAAAATTAAAAACAGCAAGTTTTACTAATGAGAAAAACACCCCAAACTGTTACAAATCAATATAAAAAAAACTCTAAAATTTCCCTAAAAATAAGGTATTTCCCCAAAAATGTCTTTAAGGCAGATCTTTGCCTCTTAATATGTTTTTCTAGACCCAACCCCCCAGTCTCACAACAGCTCTACAACAAAACACCTTCAAAAGCAGCCTTCTCTGCCTCCCCACCTCTCCTCCGACAAAATCATCTCTGGTAGATCTCACAAATTTTCCCCTTCTAACCTCTCCCTCCTAAAATGTTCCCCTCTGAATCCCACCCCCTACTTTACCCAATAGGCACCTCCTGCTAACCCAAAGGCCACTCCTGCCAGGAAAGCTGACTTTCACCTCTCTTTCTGCTCCTCCAGATCCAATCCCCCACTCTCATCTCCAGCTCTGTAACGACCTGCTGCAGTCTCCCTTTCCTCTGATTCCATTCCCAAAGGATCACAAAATATCTACTCCTCCAACCTTCCTTACCCCAACTCATCCAATTATCCCAGCTTCCAACACCAACAAGCATTTCCTGGGAACACAACTGAGCAGGCAAAGAAACAGAAAATTTCCTACCAAGCAACACGCAGGTATCACCACACTCTCCTAAAATCCAGAAAGGAAACAGAAACCAAGGGAACAAAACACCCACCCAACAAAGACAAAACCAGATATCAGCACCAGATAGATCTGTAATCATCCCAATAGCAGATGCCTAGATGCCAGGGTAAAAACACAATTACAGTCAGGAAAATACGTCTTCACTAGAGCCCAGAACCCTACCACAGCAGACCCTAAATATTCCAACACAGCTGAAAAAAAGAACTCAAAATAGCCGATGTGACTAGGAATAGAAGTCCTTAAAGGAGAAATGAATAAATCTCTTTTAAAAAATCCAGGAAAACAATAACAAACAGAAAGAAAGAAATAAAACTGTTCAAGACCTGAAAATGGAAAGAGAGTAAAGAAAACCCAAACTGAGGGAATTCTGGAAATGAAAAATTTAGGGATTTGAATAGAACTACAAATGCAAGCTTCACCAACAGAATACAAGAGCTGGAACACAGAATCTCAGGCATTAAGGTATGGCAGAAAAAAATGGATACATTAGTCAAAACATATATTAAATCTAAAAAACTCCTTCCTAACACAAAACATCCAGGAAATCTGGACACCATGCAAAGACCAAATCTAAGAAAAATAGGAAGACTAAGAAGAAGAAACCCAGCTAAAAGGAACAGAAAATATTTTCAACAAAATCTAGTTTCCTAACCTAAAGGAAGTGATGTCTATAAAGGTATAAGCATACAGAACACCAAATAGAGTAGGCCAGAAAAAAAAAGCCCCCTCAGCACATAATCATCAAAACACTAAACATACAGAACAAAGAAATAAACCTATTAGAATTGCACCTAACTTCTTAATGAAGCCTCTAAAAGCCAGAGGACCTGGACAGATGTGCTGCAGACTCTTAAGAAACCAGAGGCCAGCCTAGACTATTATGCCCAGCAAAACTTTCAATTACCATGGGTGGAGGAAATAAGATATTCCATGATAAAGCCAAATTTTAGTAGTACTTATCAACAAATCTAGCACTACAGAAGGTACTAGAAGGAAAACTCCAAGCTAAGGACGCTAACTACAACCATGAAAACACAGGAAATAATCTCAGACTAGCAAAATCAAAAGGGAAACTCCTCCACCACCAACAACAAAAACAAGAATAAGAAAATAACTAGAATCAACAACCATTTGTCATTAATCTCTCTCAATATCAATGAACTGATATCCCCCAATAAAAAGACACACACTAACAGAATGGATGAAAAACAGGATACAACCTCCTGCTGCATCCAAGAAACACACCTGAACACCAAGGACAGACACTACCTCAGAGTAAAGCATTGGGATATACCAAGATATATCAAGAAAATGGACCTGAGAGTCAAGCTGGTGTAGTCATTTTAGTATCTTACAAAATAGACTTCAAACCAAAACTAATCAAAAAAGATAGGAAAGGACACTACATACTCAATGGAAAAAAACCACCAAGATGGCATTTGAATTCTTAACATACATACCCTAAACACAAGAGCACCCAAATCTGTAAAAGAAGCACAACCAGAGCTTAAATCACATATTGACCCTCACACATTGATGTTGGGAGACTTTAATACCCCACTCTCACTAATGGACAGGTCATCCAGACAAAAAGTAGAGAAATGCTGGAGCTGACAGACTTTCTAAACCAAATGAACCTAACAGATATCTACAGAACATTTCACCCAAACTCAAAAGAATATACCTTCTTTTCTGCACCTTATAGAGCTTACTGCAAAATTGACCACATACTCAGATACAAAGCAAGTCTCAACAGATTCAAGAACATCGAAATGACCCCCTGCATCCTATCAGACTACCATGGATTAAAGCTGGATTTCAATAACAGAAACAAAAGTCTATAAACTCATGGAAACTAAACAACTCTCTACTAAAGGAAAAAATGGATCAAAACAGAAAAAAGAAATTAAAGACTTTCTAGAATTGAATGAAAATGAATACACAACATAGTCAAACTTTTGGGACACAATGAAAGGAAAGTTCATAGCACTAAATGCCTAGGGTTTTTTTTTTTTTTTTTTTTTGGTTTTTTTGAGACAGGGTTTCTTTGTGTAGCTTTGCGCCTTTCCTGGAACTCGCTTTGGAGACCAGGCTGGCCTCGAACTCACAGAGATCTGCCTGGCTCTGCCTCCCAAGTGCTGGGATTAAAAGCGTACGCCACCACCGCCCGGCGCCTAGGTTTAAAA